ACGAATGCACCCATCCTTGCAAACACCGGCAATCGTGCACCCCCTATTGTCCCTAATCCACATTCCTTTGTTTGTTTCTTTAGCAACAGCTCTCATTGGTTTTGTACATGATTTGAGATCGTGGACTATCGGTCAATCGTGGACCCTTTGTTTGTGCTCTAACCCTTTTGTCCCTAGTCCACGATTGCCGGTGTCTACATACTCACTCACACAAGACATGTTTTACTATACTCATGAGGACCTGCCTATTTACTAGTCGACTGAATGCTCTGGCGTAATTTCCTTCGAAAAACAAACTTACCAAGGGAAGACAGGTGGACCCCATCGTAGCAGTACAGGGTAGTGTCAGTCCACACAAACTGTGGATGAGGCAGGTAATGTGCACCCAATTTTGTGCATTGCTTCCAATAGCCCAACGATTATTAGTGCTTTGCATTTGCACTCAACGAAGACTGCGACCGCGCTCCAAAGTTAAAAACGCGAGGCAAGATCGCTGACCAAATTAAAACGGTATGCAGCTGAAGTATTCACTGACGCATGCAAAACTCATCTGTGGTAACAACGTCATTAGTGGCAACATGAACCAGCAGCACGGATGGGTCTGGACCTTGTCTCGCCAACAACATTGGAAATACGTTCCCAAATGGGCCCTGCTTTTGCCTTGCCAAATAATGTTGATATGTATGTCGAGATGGCCAGTCACCCAACGGACAAGGGAGTCGCCAATGATCAGCGCGGAACCTATAAGTAGTCAAGGAGATACAATTTATTATTCCAACTGACGAGCATAATTGAATATGTTGCTGTCACTAACCATCAACATGATGGCTCTGTCAGTGTCAATGAACACACCGGAACATGGCGAATGTACATGTATGTTGTAACTGCATTAGAGCACCAGTGGCCCATAACACGAATGTTTTGTATGGAAACACCTGACGAAGCAGCAGAACTGGAGACCCAATTCTGAATGAATGTGCACGAATGTGATCACTGGGCACATTGGCAAGAAGGAAGACTTTGCGCAGAGCCGGATTAAACTGATAACGTGTAAGCGAAGTACCGTTGAAATGACCGAAAAGGGGGCCTGCAATTGATGGGCGGACCCTCCGAAATTCTTGGAGAGAATCGGCAGAGCTGTACGTTGGTAGATTGTGGTATGCGAATCCTTTGTGGGGAACCATGCTGATTGTTTTTACTGAACCGAAACGCAACCAGGATAGATAAAGCAACGCCTTCCGTGTTGCATGGAAACATCCATATCCAACAAAACTGATTTCTGAATATGAGTTTGTGATGCGGCAGCACCTTCGCCAACCCGCATAAATCCAAAAAATGAAAACATAAAAACTGCTTTAAACATGAATGCCTCGAAGCAGGACGAACATACCGACGGCAATGCCACAGAAATTGTTTGCAATGTAGATGGGGATAAAGGCTCGTGTCTAGAAGGGTTACTTCTTCTACCCTTCAAGAAGCTCAGACAGGCTAAAAACTGAATACCTGAACCCCCCCCCCCCCCCCCCCCCCATTTCCCCATCTGCACGTATACAAGTAAGCTATCTCGTTGGTTGAAATTTAACACTCCCCTCTCCTGTTTTGAGAAGAGTCTACTACTAATTTACCTCTTATCTGCATAACACAGGATTGCCTTATATGGTCATGGCTAGTGGGTTCTAGAACATGCCATGCTAGCTATTTTTAGCTGGAGAATCAGACCACTGTAAAAGTAATCTAGTATTGTATTCAGTCTCTGAGTCGACCACAGGAAATACTTACAACAAGTAATGTCTCCGATTATAAATGATTTTATCTTGGATAGATAAAATGAGGTAAAGTAATAAACAACTTTTTTAAGTTAAAAACAAAGTAAGGGGGTTATTAAGCTAAAACCTCAACCTCTCATTTAGTGCACACAAAGGGTGCAAATCAAAGTTCATGTTTTTCTACAAGTTCTCAAAAGACAATCCATGTTTGATTCATTTGATTTATGCCAAGAGTTGCCCAAACTGGTTATGTTTGTTTATTTAAAGATCGTGCACAAGATTTTCAATCATGCAAGTGGTGGACCATGAATAAATGCAGGGATATGAAAAAAACCGCATTTTGATGCACAAAGTAGGGGTTAGCAATATAATAACGAAACAGGGTTTGATATCATTTTTAAGATGCCAAAGATTTTTTTCTCATTTCATTTTACATGTGCCAAAAGTTGACATTTTTTGTGTTTATTTGAAAATTGTACACAGTGTTTTTACGGAAAACAGGTATAGCAAAACAGGAATCTGAAACTACAAATCACCTGTCCACATTTGTATATTTAGGTTGCCAAAGATAATTTATATTTTGTTTATTTTATTAATTGGGCTGGAAGTTGCCAAAGTTGGGTTGTTTGATATTTATTTAAAAATCATGGAAATAAAATCTAATTCAGAACAAGACAGTATTGTATATATTTAACAGTTTGCGTCATTTTATTTAGCCTTTTGTGCATTCAACATGTACCTTTTTTTTTTTACCCCATTTTTTTTTCAACCAACCTTCACTCATTCAAGGCCAAAAAAAATATGAGAACCCTAGAATTAAAAAGGGATACCTTTATGGTGGACACAATAGGCCGCTATTTATAGTGGAAAAGTCTTGTAGTTTGTTCCTCTATGAACCCACCCCTGATGGCGTACCTATTGTGTGTTCCTATTTGGAAAAGAGTGAACATGATGCATTTTGCATTTTTACATGAATGAATGGAATAATGAGGCTGCCTGGGGTGAAAAATGAATAATCATGGTTGGTAGGACTTAAAACTGGTCTCGGTCTCGAGACAGGTAACCAGTTTTTTGAAGTTACCAGCTTTTGGTTTGAATTTCTTTTGGTCGGTTTGTGAGCATGTACTAATTATTAAGGTAACATTTGACAAGGTTGCGTCCAACATCAGTACAGACACACAAAAAAAGATTCATTTATTTGGCAAATTTATTTTGTACACTGCCTTACTAATGCACTGGAAATCCCAAGTCGTCATTTCCTTTCTATGTTTTCCTCCGTAGAGGAAGACTATTCAATCCATGTAATAAACAATATTTAATTGAAGCAATACATGTCTCTTGTTTTGAAGGATCTGTGCACCCAGACCTCAGCATATAGTCAAAGACCAGATGAGGAACCCGGCCTTCAGTAACAAGTGGACTCCATTTACATGTACCGGAAAGCCATAACTTAACCAGGAATCCTATTGTAGTAAAACATCAGAGCCATATATTCATGAAACCTTACTAAGCCTAACTAAAAAGGCATGTAAATGCTTACCAAGCCTAGTTGTTAACTATTTGGTATTCAAGAAATATTACCAGCGTTAGTTAAATTCTAAGTTTCTTGCTAAAGTTAGTGTAGATCCAGGGCAACTCTAATTTCACTAGTTGGCAACTACATCACTTTTTGTTGTGCCAAAATGTTTGTCATGTTTTTCCTTTTGCATTCACGTCTTATACAGTTAACGTTGTTCAAAATGCTTAGAATAATAAATGACTGGATCTATCATTGAAGGGGGCGTATTTACCCAAAGCCCCTTTCACACAGTGCCGTTCTTATAATGATGGTCATGCGTAATATGATGGTCACGACCAAAACAAATACTGAAACAGGGCTAGGACACGAGAAATTAAAAAAAAAAAGCCTTGGATCCCAGACCATAATCCATGTGTAGTGCCCCGTCCTCGTCCCGTCCCGTCCTCATCCAGTCCAAGCCGTTCTGAGGTAGTGTAAGGCAAAATAAAAAAAAAACATGTTTATCGTCCTGCCTCTTTGACAAAAAGGAAGGAGGAGGCCCTTTTTTTGTTGTTTTTTTCTTTTCAAAATGGCTGCCCGACACATTTTTCAAGACAACGCGGCCGGGCTATTTTTCAAGATGGTTACCAGCTTTTTTCAAAATGGCCGCCACTTGGACTCAGGAAATGACATATTGGCTTCTTATGGGCAAGATGCAACAGAAAATGAGACCAAAATGATATAACTATGCAGAACCGAACATCTCTTCTGCGCAATTGCACCATATTTAAAAAAAAAAAAAAAAAAAAAAAAAAGGAGGCGGCCTCTAAAAAGGAAGCGGGCGGGGACGCTAAACATGTTTTTTTTTTACTTCGCCTAATGTTATTCGCTGACGAGCAGCCACAAATGTATAGTTAAACTAGAGTAACTTCACACAAGACACGATCATTTCAGAACAAGCTGGTGAACTCCGAAAGGTCAACTGTAATGTAACCTGTAATGTGATGTATTTAGAAATACATCACATCTCCCCCATACAAATTAAGTAAACATTAAACAAGTTGAACTTTGGGAACTTACATGTACATGTAGGAAACAAACAATAAGCTTGAGCAAAGTGTTACTGAACTTTATAAGGGAATACTTCAAAATGTGATTTACTAAAGGGAGGATTAGAGAACTATGGAAGGTGTTTGAATAAAGCAAATAAAGCAAATTTGAAAAAAGCACAAGCGTTTGTACATGAATTTAGACCATCTTGAAAAAGCCACAAATCTGTTATTTACTGTCTATGCAATTTGGTGTACAACTTCAGCTTACAGGTCAAGTTTTTGAGTTGGTCTTACTACCCTGCCACTTCTAGTAGTAGTAGTCTGACCTACAGTCACGCTATCATATTTTACACTATGTTGTTTTGTCTCACTTGGTTCTTCAGGTTCTGCAGTCTGATGGATATTTTCATTCTGTGTGCTAGGAGAGACTAGGTTGGGCTGAGACAATGAATTCCCTTCAATGTTAGCATGTTCTTTGGAGTGAACAATGTGATGCCTATTTCTTCTATACACCTGTCCAGTTGGTGTCGCAATCATATAGCTTCTAGGGTTATTGGCTGTGCGGATTTTGGCATCTAACTTGTTCCCCAGTGTGTAGTGTGCACTTTGGCTTACTACATTTTGCGTCATAGTAGTGTTTTTGCACAGTCTGTCTCTCTTTGAGTTTGGCTTTCATGGGTGGGACTATACTTGTGATTGAAGAAGAGTCGATGAAGTGGGAAGTCGGCTTTTGAGCAAGCGACTATTGAGTAATTGTGCTGGTGCATAACCCTCTGTGCCATCGAGGGGCGTGTTGCGATATTCCAGCAGTGCCATATAAGGGTCCCTGCCAGACACCTTAGCCTTTTTCATGAGTGTTTTCACTGTTTGAATACAGCGCTCGGCTTGCCCGTTGCTCTGTGGGTACCTTGGGCTAGACGTGACATGCCTGAACTCCCACATGTTTTGGAAAGTTCTGAAGTCTTCGCACACAAATTGGCTTGCATTATCAGTAATCAACAGATCTGGTGTACCGGAGCGGGCAAATATAATTTTCAATTCATGTATGACCGAATGGGCTGTGTGATCTTGCAAGGCCTGTACTTCTGGAAATTTGGAGTAGTAGTCAACTACAAGCAGATAGTTCACTCCTAAGTGGAACACATCTGCACCTAGTTTAGACCATGGTCTGTCAGGTATGTCATGTTGTATCATTGGTTCAGCAGGTTGAGTTTTCCTACTTGACTGACAGATAGCACACTTGGCTACCGTGTCTTCAATTTGCAAATTCATGCCCGGCCAGTATAAAATGGCTCGTGCTCTCTGTTTGAGTTTCACTATCCCTAGGTGAGACTCATGGATTTTCTTAAGCATGTCCTTCTGCATGCTTCGCGGAACTACAACCCGGTTGCCAAGAAAAATAATGCCATCACAGAACACTAATTCATTGTGGACTGCATAGTATGGGCCAACATCACTTGTCAAGTGGTGTTTATCAACAGGCCAGCCATTCATAATGTGACCTTTCACCTTCGCAAGTGTGGGGTCCGCGGCTGTTTCTTCACGGAATTGCTGCAATCGTAATTCAGTAATTGGGAGTTGTCTTAAAATCATGTTGATTTCCCGCAATTCATCAAACTCTGAGATGTTGTCACCTCTTCTATTTATTATGCGGCTTAACGCATCTGGCACAAACATTGTGTTACCTGGTTGCCATATTGTACACTGAGGTCATATCTCAGTAGGTGCATGCGCATACGCTGCAATCGTGGGCTCAACTTATGCAATGGCTTGTGGAACACTCCTACCAATGGCTTATGATCTGTGATCACTGTTGTCTGTTTTCCAAAGATATAGTCATGGAATTTGTGGCACGCAAAGAGAATGGCGCACATCTCCTTTTCAATAGTCGCGTAATTTTTTTTCAGCAGGACTAGTACTACGCGATGCATATGCCACTGGTCTGTTATTATCTTGCATCAATACTGATCCAAACCCATGCTTGGATGCATCAGTGGCCAAGCTGACCGGCTTATTCACATCATATAACATCAGTACTGGTGCTGATGTTATAATATGCTTGAGTGTTTGCACGGCTTTTGTGTGTTTTTCATTCCAGTGCCAAGCTATTTGCTTTTCGGTAAGCTGTCGCAACGGCGCAGTGATTTCAGAAAGATTGGGAATGAACTTACTAACGTATGTGATCATGCCGAGAAAGGTTTCAAGCTCATGTTTGTTAGTTGGGATTGGCATTTCCAATACAGACTGGATACACGCTGGACTTGGTGAGAGTCCTTCTGCGGAAATCACATGACCCACACAAGGGCGTCGCCAGGATTTTTTCTAGAGGGGGGCAAAAAATTTTTTTGCCAAAAAACGCTTGTATTTCTCAACACATTCTCGATTTATCAGTTTAAGAGGGGGGGCAGGGACATTTTGCCCCCCCCCCCCAACTCATTAAATGTACACCACTTTGTCTTCGCGCCTCTTTTTCTTTTTTCTTTTTTTTCTTTTTTTTTTCTTCCTTTTTTTTTTTTTTTTTTGCTTTTCCAGGGGGGGGGGGGGGCAAGTGCCCCCCCTTGCCCCTCCCTCGCGACGCCCATGGACCCACATATTCAAGTTTGTCTGTGCCAATGACAGACTTTTCCTATTGAGTTTAAGTCCTGATTCTCTGACTTTTGCCAGGAACTTAGCTACTCGCTCATCATGCTCAGTTGTGTTTTCCCCCCAAACTAGGATATCATCGACAACAATTTCAACCCCTTCAAGTGCCCCAAATTCAGTGACCATGGCGCGCTGCCAAATTTCACTTGCCGACGAAATGCCGAATGGTAGAACCATATATCGAAATCTTCCAAAGGGTGTGTTACATGTTGTCAAGTACGAGCTTCTTTGTGTGAGAGGAAGTTGCCAATAACCACTTGTAGTGTCAAACTTTGAAAACACCTTAGCCTGTGGCATGCGCGCTGCAACATCTCAGAGGGTGGGCATAGGGTAATGGGCTCTCTTTATGGCATTATTGAGCTCTCGCGGGTCAAGACAAATGCGCACACTGCCATCCGGTTTACCAACTATTGACATGGAACTGACCCAGTCTGTGGGCTCTTCCACACGCGCAATGACCCCAAGGTTTTCCATACGCTCTAATTCAGCCCTCACTTTGTCGCACAATGTGTAAGGAATAGTGCGTGGAGGGTTCTGAACTGGTGCGGCATCTACATTCAATTCAATCTCATATTCGTGGTTTTGCAGTTTCCCTAGCCCTTCATACAAATCATTGTGTTCTGTGAACGTGATGTTGCTATGCACTGGCACATTTTGCGCACTACCACTAACCACTTCATCTACTCTTACTCTCTTAATCAATCCTAGCCTTTGACATGTTTTCAGACCTAAGATAGGTTTTACATTTCCGCTTACCACTTGAAAAACAACTTGTTGTGTGGTGCAACCGGTACCTGTACCAACCTTCAAATTGGCTATGGTCTTTCCTAATGCCTTAATCTTGTGCCCTGAATAGGATTTGAGAGATGCCTTACTGGGAAGCAATGCCAGTCCAGTGTTTTTGAAACAGTCTTCTGGTAGAATGTCCGCTTGAGATCCTGAATCAAGCTTGAAGTCCACCTTGTTTCTCCCAATTTGACAGGTTTCAGTCCAGTCGCCTGATTCTTGTCCAGCGATGTAGTCTATCATCAGGTCCTCGAGTTGTTTTCTTGGTTCCTGTAGGTTGACACCGGCAACATCATACTGGGTGTTGTCCTCATCATCATCACTGCTTTCGTTGACTTCCCTGACCATCTTTGGTCGTGACTTGTGTTAGGCTTTGCATATTCTCGATTTGCTGAAATGTCCAACTTTATGGCACGAGTTGCACTGCTCACACTTTGCAGGACAGCGGTTTGCGAAGTGTACGTAAGTACAGAAGTCACACCGTGACTTTGCTCCATTTTCTGCGTTGTTATTTGACATTTCCTTGCGACTTGCAGCTCTGGTCGGAAGTCTGGCTTTAGTGGACGTCACCCGGTTAACCTCCTGTTTTTGCTGGGTCAAATCCAGTTCAGCCTGTAGGGCTTTCACATGTGTGGCGCTCATTTCACTGACCTGGCAGATATTGATGCACTTTTCCAGGGTCAAATTATCTTCCTGAAGCAGTTTTTCTCGTGTTTTTGTGTCCTTTACACCACACACAACTCTGTCTCGAAGGAGGGAATTCTCAATGTCACCAAATTCACATTCCCTCACCAGGCATTTCACGTTTGTCAAGTATGTGTCGAACGGCTCATCCACTTTCTGGTTTTTCGAGTTGAACATGTATCGCAGTACTGACAGGTTTCTCTTGGGTTCACAGTATTGTTTGAACTTGGCTTTAAGTACTTGCAGTTTGTCCTTCTCATCGTCCGCGAACGTCAGTGTCGCATATACACGCTGTGCCGCTGGGCCTGCCACGTGCAGAAACGTTGCACAATGCACTGGCTCCGGTTTCTTCTGCAGTTCCGTGGCCATAGCGTACAGTTCAAATGAACGCACCCATTCCTTCCAGTTTTTCGCCAAGTTCCCTTCCAGCTGCAACTGTCCCGGTGGTTTCAAGCCTGACATTGCGACTTTTATGATCCGTTTTCTGACACCATGTAATGTTATTCGCTGACGAGCAGCCACAAATGTATAGTTAAACTAGAGTATTCACACAAGACACGATCATTTCAGAACAAGCTGGTGAACCCCGAAAGGTCAACTTTAATGTAACCAACAGAGGGCGGTGTTCAGTTTGAGAAATACATCACAGGTAGTTCTATTCAAGACAACTGTGGCTCACACTCCCATCCACACCCCATCCTCGTCCCGTCCTCATCCAGTCCAAGCCGTTTTCAGGCAGCTCTATTCAAGACAAATGTGGCTCACACTCCCGTCCCAAACCCCGTCCTCGTCCCGTCCTCATCCAGTCCAAGCCGTTCTCAGGCAGTTCTAGTCAAGACAAATGTGGCTCACACTCTCGTCCCCACCCTGTCCTCGTCCCGTCCTCGTCCAGTCCAAGCCCTTCCAAGGCAGTTCTATTCAAGACAAATGTGGCTCACACTCCCATCCCCTCCCCGTCCTCGTCCCATCCTCGTCCAGTCCAAACCGTTCTCAGGCAGTTCTATTCAAGACAAATGTGGCTCACACTCCCATCCCCACCCCGTCCTCGTCCCATCCTCGTCCAGTCCAAGCCGTTCTCAGGCAGTTCTATTCAAGACATATGTGGCTCACACTCCTGTCCCCACCCCGTCCTCGGCCCGTCCTCGTCCAGTCCAAGCCCTTCCCAGGCAGCTCTATTCAAGACAAATGTGGCTCACACTCTCGTCCCCACCCTGTCCTCGTCCCGTCCTCGTCCAGTCCAAGCCCTTCCCAGGCAGTTCTATTCAAGACAAATGTGGCTCACACTCCCGTCCCCACCCCGTCCTCGTCCCGTCCTCGTCCAGTCCAAGCCCTTCCCAGGCAGTTCTATTTAAGACAAATGTGGCTCACACTCCCATCCCCACCCTGTCCTCATCCAGTCCAAGCCCTTCCCAGGCAGTTCTATTCAAGACAAATGTGGCTCACACTCTCGTCCCCACCCTGTCCTCGTCCCGTCCTCGTCCAGTCCAAGCCCTTCCCAGGCAGTTCTATTCAAGAAAAATGTGGCTCACACTCCCGTCCCCACCCCGTCCTCGTCCCATCCTCGTCCAGTCCAAGCCCTTCCCAGGCATTTCTATTCAAGACAAATGTGGCTCACACTCTCGTCCCCACCCCGTCCTCGGCCCGTCCTCGTCCAGTCCAAGCCCTTCCCAGGCAGTTCTATTTAAGCGAATGTGGCTCACACTCCCATCCCCACCCTGTCCTCGTCCCATACTCGTCCAGTCCAAGCCCCTCCCAGGCAGTTCTATTCAAGACAAATGTGGCTCACACTCTCGTCCCCACCCTGTCCTCATCCCGTCCTCGTCTAGTCCAAGCCCTTCCCAGGCAGCTCTATTCAGACAAATGTGGCTCACACTCCCATCCCCACCCTGTCCTCATCCAGTCCAAGCCCTTCCCAGGCAGTTCTATTCAAGACAAATGTGGCTCACACTCTCGTCCCCACCCTGTCCTCGTCCCGTCCTCGTCCAGTCCAAGCCCTTCCCAGGCAGTTCTATTCAAGAAAAATGTGGCTCACACTCCCGTCCCCACCCCGTCCTCGTCCCATCCTCGTCCAGTCCAAGCCCTTCCCAGGCATTTCTATTCAAGACAAATGTGGCTCACACTCTCGTCCCCACCCCGTCCTCATCCCGTCCTCATCCAGTCCAAGCCCTTCCCAGGCAGTTCTATTCAAGACAAAGGTGGCTTGCACTCCCATCCCCACCCTGTCCTCGTCCCGTCCTTGTCCAGTCCAAGCCGTTCTCAGGCAGTTCTATTCAAGACAAAGGTGGCTCACATTCCCGTATCCACCCCGTCCTCGTCCCTTCCTTTTCCAGTCCAAGCCCTTCCCAGGCAGCTTTATTCACAACAAATGTGGCTCACACTCCGTCCCCACCCCGTCCTCGTCCCGTCCTCATCCAGTCCAAGCCGTTCTCAGGCAGTTCTAGTCAAGACAAATGTGGCTCACACTCTCGTCCCCACACCGTCCTCCTCCCGTCCTCGTCCAGTCCAAGCCATTCTCAGGCAGTTCTATTCAAGACAAATGTGGCTCACACTCCTGTCCCCACCCCGTCCTCGTCTCGTCCTCATCCAGTCCAAGCCGTTCTAAGGCAGTTCTATTCAAGACAAATGTGGCTCCCACTCCTGTCCCCACCCCGTCCTCGTCCCATCCTCGTCCAGTCCAAACCGTTCTCAGGCAGTTCTATTCAAGACAAATGTGGCTCACACTCCCATCCCCACCCCGTCCTCGTCCCATCCTCGTCCAGTCCAAGCCGTTCTCAGGCAGTTCTATTCAAGACATATGTGGCTCCCACTCCTGTCCCAACCCCGTCCTCGTCCCGTCCTCGTCCAGTCCAAGCCCTTCCCAGGCAGCTCTATTCAAGAAAAATGTGGCTCACACTCCCGTCCCCACCCCGTCCTCGTCCCGTCCTCATCCAGTCCAAGCCCTTCCCAGGCAGTTCTATTCAAGACAAATGTGGCTCACACTCCCGTCCCCACCCCGTCCTCGTCCCGTCCTCATCCAGTCCAAGCCCTTCCCAGGCAGTTCTATTCAAGACAAATGTGGCTCACACTCCCGTCCCCACCCCGTCCTCGTCCCGTCCTCATCCAGTCCAAGCCCTTCCCAGGCAGTTCTATTCAAGACAAATGTGGCTCACACTCCCGTCCCCACCCTGTCCTCGTCCCGTCCTCGTCTAGTCCAAGCCCTTCCCAGGCAGCTCTATTCAAGACAAATGTGGCTCACACTCCCATCCCCACCCTGTCCTCATCCAGTCCAAGCCCTTCCCAGGCAGTTCTATTCAAGACAAATGTGGCTCACACTCCCGTCCCCACCCCGTCCTCGTCCCGTCCTCATCCAGTCCAAGCCCTTCCCAGGCAGTTCTATTCAAGACAAATGTGGCTCACACTCCCGTCCCCACCCCGTCCTCGTCCCGTCCTCATCCAGTCCAAGCCCTTCCCAGGCAGTTCTATTCAAGACAAATGTGGCTCACACTCCCGTCCCCACCCTGTCCTCGTCCCGTCCTCGTCTAGTCCAAGCCCTTCCCAGGCAGCTCTATTCAAGACAAATGTGGCTCACACTCCCATCCCCACCCTGTCCTCATCCAGTCCAAGCCCTTCCCAGGCAGTTCTATTCAAGACAAATGTGGCTCACACTCTCGTCCCCACCCTGTCCTCGTCCCGTCCTCGTCCAGTCCAAGCCCTTCCCAGGCAGTTCTATTCAAGACAAATGTGGCTCACACTCCCGTCCCCACCCCGTCCTCGTCCCATCCTCGTCCAGTCCAAGCCCTTCCCAAGCATTTCTATTCAAGACAAATGTGGCTCACACTCTCGTCCCCACCCCGTCCTCATCCCGTCCTCATCCAGTCCAAGCCCTTCCCAGGCAGTTCTATTCAAGACAAAGGTGGCTTGCACTCCCATCCCCACCTGTCCTCGTCCCGTCCTCGTCCAGTCCAAGCCGTTCTCAGGCAGTTCTATTCAAGACAAAGGTGGCTCACATTCCCGTCCCCACCCCATCCTCGTCCCTTCCTTTTCCAGTCCAAGCCCTTCCCAGGCAGCTTTATTCACGACAAATGTGGCTCACACTCCGTCCCCACCCCGTCCTCGTCCCGTCCTTATCCAGTCCAAGCCCTTCCCAGGCAGTTCTATTCATGACAAATGTGGCTCACACTCCCGTCCCCACCCTGTCCTCGTCCCATCCTCGTCCAGTCCAAGCCGTTCTCAGGCAGTTCTATTCAAGACAAAGGTGGCTTGCACTCCCATCCCCACCTGTCCTCGTCCCATCCTCGTGCAGTCCAAGCCGTTCTCAGGCAGTTCTATTCAAGACAAAGGTGGCTTGCACTCCTGTCCCCACCCTGTCCTCGTCCCGTTCTCGTCCAGTTCAAGCCCTTCCCAGGCAGTCTATTCAAGACAAATGTGGCTCACGCTCCCTCGGGCCATTCTTACCCACGAATGTCGCGTACCTTGGGCATTATCCTTTACCTAACACACTGGGGATTAAGGGTTAGTGCTATTGTCGCGTCAGTGCAACAAGGTAGTATCTCCTAAAATGACATAAACGCAAAACGCGAGTTTAAGAATGTCAAAAGGTCGTATCTTGCTTAAAATAACCAGGATGTACGTGCAAAGTCAATGGACGTTGGGATTCGACCTTGTTGCATGGAACGTATTCGCGCGAGATACGACTTTGTTGCAGAACCGAGTAACGACCTTCTTGCACTGACGCGACAATATGACGTCACAAATAAACTGGCTCTATGCTCACACACTTTCCGTCACAATAGGTGAACATATAATGCGCTGGAGTTACTCAAGCTATCTAACTATAGGCCTGTTAGTTTTGTATGACTGAAACATTTTGTTCTCAATATATAGTTAGGCCTACTTGGAGCAGGGCCAGTAAACCTCAAATAGCACACTCCCAAGAATGAATGTAATGGAATTATGAACAGCTACAAACTTATGGAGAACTGAGCTCACATTCATCATGGTAAGGAATTTCTTGTGAATAATCACTCAGTACTGAGTATGGCATTCACTGTTTCAAAACACTACTAATGGCGAAATCGATGTGTTATAGTGAAATTCACAGCGCATGCACTCAACATTATACAATGCATAATCATTGCGGACGCAGCTAGGCGCCCAACAGTTTTGGCATGACAATATTAATAATACAGGTCTTATTTTTAGATATGAACACAGTCCATCAAACGCTCATTTCAACAGCGCGGTGTATTATTCTTTTGTTATTTCAAGATTTCAGATGGGGGCCCGTGCCCCCCTCCTTGCCCTACGTTTATTGTGATTTAATCTACCTAAATCATACTAAGTACACTAGGGATTTTTTTTACAATCGAAAAATAACTTCATAGATGTTTCTTCAACTGTGTAATAGAGGTCTGTGGGCCGACCACAGACATAAAGAACCAACCTCCCCAGGGTGTCAAGCAGTATGCGCCCACCACTAACTGCTCTCTCACCCTGGTATAGACCTGAGACCTAATGTCGTAATGGCTTTGTTTATATACATACAAATGCGCTTTCCAATGGGAGCGAAGTGGGAACGCCAGACGAAGTAGGGACTGTACGTCCACCAGGCCAAAAAAAAATAATATTCGGTCTCTGGTCAGACCAAAGTTCCGGAATTGATGCGGCGACGCGGTTTTTTTTTTTTTGGGGGGTCTCTTTTGGCCTTTTTTTTTTTTTTTAAAAGCTTGGATTGTACAGACAAGGTGGGTACTATTTTGCTTTTGTTGTGTCCTCATATACATTGGGGACTTCCATAATTTGCCTTGGTGCCCTCCATCATTTGCCTTGGTGCAATTTCCCCATTCCTTGGTATAAACATTTGAGGAGGTGCGGCAATAGAGGGTGCTGCTGTAACTACCGCAGACAATTTGAAGGAAAAAAAAGGTTGACGCGCATGATTAAAATCGATGCGCGCACTGACCAGAGACCGACTTTTTTTTTTTTTTGGCCCCACTTAGGAAATTTGCATGTTATCAAAGCGTGATGTCATTATCTCAGGGCTATTGGATCATTTGCATGTGCAAAATTTGTCAACACGTAGGCAAATGAGGAATAGTTTGGTGCCTGCCTGTACCTTACATTAGCATTCGTTTTTTTATGTGGTGTCTGGGGTAAAAACATCAGTTCGTCGCGCGTGAGTTACGAAAACAGTGTTTTCGAAGTTAAATCTTATCCGATATATGCAGTATCACATTTCATATTAATACCAGCAAAGTGGAAAGGAAAAGAGTATTTTTGAGAAGGCATGGACGTCATAATTACAATTATGATCTTGAAAACACGTGATGCACGTTGGAAATAACAACACCAAGTACACGATATAAATCCATTACTAGCCAATTGTGGTATCGAATCAGGATACAGGAAGAAACAGAGTTGTAATGACTCGAGTCAATGACTCGACTCGAGTCCGACTCGAGTCACATTTTTTGGCGACTCGACTCGACTCGAGTCCCGACGGGTAAATGACTCGACTCGAGTTACTGCGAGCAAATGACTCGAGTCCCTCATCAGAATGACTCGACTCGACTCGAGGAAGGCTAATAAGACTCGAGTCCCAAAATAAAAGCAAAACTTACTTGCGAAAAATATTTGCAATGACTTACGCTGCGCCGTTCGCTTTGCCAGTTTTTGTTCACGTCACGTTAATGTTCGCAAATAATGTACGTTTATATACAGCGGCAGTCTGTTTCCTTCCTCCATAATGAAACAACAAACATACACCGTGTCGCGGACTCCCACCTTGTGGTTCTATAGCATGTAATGCTAAACCCGGAACCAGACTTAAAACGCATTTCTCAATCTGTGGTTTCATCATTGGTTTCGGGCGATTTTGAAGTTCTTGGTGGAACGCTGGCTAAATTCATGTCCCGATTTCACACACAAAAATGGATACGGACGGGCCCACCTTTAAATAATCAGAAACGGTTTTGTATAATGCAATTAGGTTTTAACGTTGTCAGCAATCAGCGAACAACAAAATCTAGACCCGAACCCAAACTAGTTATAAGACCGAAGTTTCACATCTTCTTATCTGTGACGTGAGCTAGCAATGGAAACTGTTGGTTGGGTACCTGGTACAGCATACTTTATGTCTTTGGATTTCCGTAATAGACTGGTGCCTTGTATTCTTTCTCTCTTGTGTTTGTTGCTTTTTATTGTAATTTAGTGTTCAAATATTTGTGACTCGATTTTGACTCGAGCTAAATACTTGACTCGACTCGACTCGACTCGACTCGACCACACTCTGTGACTCGACTCGACTCGACTCGAGTCACAAAAATCAGTGACTCGTTACAACTCTGGGAAGAAAGAATCCTATCCAGGGCTTACTATTGGAAACAAGGTTGGAAATAAAGTAAGCACTGGGGACGAGGTTAATGAAGAACCTACCACTGCCTACCACTGATCTCTATAAAGACAGATAAGTTGAACCTCCAGTAAAAGTGAATATAGCGCCACCATGAGGCAGAACGGGATGAAGGGTAAGGAGGCCGGCAGATGACGAGAGTTTGAACAGAAAATTGATGTACTAACCGCTCTTAAAGCTACATAATACAACTGAGTACATGTCATTTCTTT